TCACAGTTAACAACAAATAATTCCAGGTGTAGGATGGAGACATAGTGTTAAGTAACAAAGTGTAAGTGGATGAGTGCATCGTCCAACCGTCTTTTAAATATTGTTAGTGTCGGTGCAGAGACGACTGATTCTGGGAGAGCATTCCACGGGTGACAGACACGGGCTTTACTCCAAGTTGCCGGAATTGCGCCATCGGCATGAAGCAGCAACTTGGGACATCATAGCATTAACTGAAACCTGACTCTCAAACGAGATTTTGGATCCAGAAATTGAACTTAGTGAAATGTCAGTCATTCGAAATGATCGTCCATCTCGCGGTGGTGGCGTTGCTATCTACTACCGAGATCAGCTGAAATGTGAAGCTCTCACTGAGCATTCCCTCATTATCCCCGACGCCTTATTTTGCCGGCTGCAGCTATCCGGTCCCGATGGTTGTCCTCAGAAGAAGACACATGATGCTTGCCTCATAGCAGTTGTCTACAGGCCGCCGAACTCCTCCGCCGACAGCGATGATATTCTGTTAAATGCTCTCCAATATGCCATGTCGAAAAAGTACTCACACTACCTAATAATGGGTGACTTCAATGTACCGTCAATAGCATCTGTGTTCCCAAGTGGGCCATGCTTCAAATCAAAACTCCTTGAGTTCTTGACTATGGCAGTTTTGTATAACCATGTGGATCAACCAACCAGACACCGCGGTTCAAACAAGCCTTCAATACTTGATTTAATCCTGACTAATGAGGAGTTAATGGTTGAGTCGGTTTCATACAACCCCCGCTAGGTTGTAGCGATCATTCAGTTCTAACGTTTGATTATGTGTGTTATGCCAGTATGGTTGACAAAGAACCAGAAACCCGACGATTCATCACCAACTATTCCAAGCTTCACACTATAGCGACAACTGTTGACTGGGACCTCCAGATGCACACTTCGGCGAATGATGCCTGGCAAGTGTTGAAAGGCAAGATAAACTGGGTCCTACAATCAGCTTCAAAAGACGTACCATTACGAGTTTCGCGACGGAGCAACAACTGGATCCGGAGTAGAACACGTAAGTGGTTGAATAAGCGAGACGAGGCTTGGAGGGGTCATTTGCTAGGTCCAAGTGATATCACGTGGAATCATTACAAAACAGTCAGAAACTACTGCACTTCACTCCTTAAAGCTTACAAGTACGAATGGCAGGAAACTATGGTATGCAAATTTACTAGCAATCACAAACTGCTCTACCGGTATGTGAATGACAAAAGGAAGGTTAAGACGGGAATACCACCACTAGAGACGGTCAATGGCCTAACGGTTACTGAAGAGGAGACCGCGGACGCATTGCTCATGCAGTTTGTCTCAGTGACTAGACACACCATGGAACCATCGCCTTGCTACATCCCAGCAAATGTCGTCGGCTTATCCACGGTCAACTTTAGCCCTACATCTGTGGCAAAGAAATTACAGTCGCTCAGGGAAAATAGTGCGCCGGGAATGGACAAGATCTGTCCGAAAGTACTTAAAACCCTTGCACCCACCATGGCAGTCCACCTTGCAACCTTTTTTCAGTTTCTATTTGATCCTCATACACTTCCGTCTGAGTGGAAACGTGGACTTATCACTCCGATATACAAGGGAGGTAAGCGGTCAGACCCTGCCAACTACCGACCTATTACTCTCCTTCCTGTTCTATCAAAGGTGATGGAGTCTATAATCGCTGATGAAATGGTGGGATATTTTGAAAGTCTACAAATCATCTCCAAGCTCCAACATGGATTCAGACGCGGACGATCTTGCCTCACCAATCTACTACTTGCTCGGGACTCATGGACCAGAGCTGCTGACGAGGGAGTTCCCGTAGATGTGATTTACTTAGACTTTTTTAAGGCATTCGACAGAGTCAGTCACCCAGCACTTCTCCGAAAGCTTGCGGCCTATGGTATCCACGGATCCTTGCTCACATGGTTGGAAAGTTACTTATACGACAGAAGAATCGAGGTAAGGATCGCCAACACCCACTCCGATAGCCTATGCGTCACTAGCGACGTACCGCAAGGATCAGTTCTCGGCCCGTTACTCTTTTTAGTCTATATCAACGACCTCCCTGCCAACATTCAATCGCCTATGCAAATATTCGCCGACGATGCTAAGATGTGGCGAGCTATTCAGTCAACATCTGACCCTGTCTATCTGCAGGATGACCTGAACCGGATTCACGAATGGGCAGTAAACAACCAACTACCCCTGAACCCCGAAAAGTGTCACCTGTTGTCGCTGCGCAGTAACTGCAGCAACACATACCACCTGGGGCAGCGCGTTATAAAACAGGTGAGCAACGAAAGAGACTTAGGGGTCATCGTGCAAAAAGGTCTGGGTAATTCGGTCCAATGTTCAAAGGCAGCTAACATAGCGAACTTAAACTTGAGGCGAGCGCTCGGTAAGTTCGAGCGGCAACTCGTGCCATTATTGATTAACGCCCACATTCGTCCCCACCTCGAGTATGCGGTGCAGGCATGGCGTCCGTGGTTAAAACGGGACATTCGTCTCCTGGAGCAACCACAAAGAAGAGCCACTAAGGCAACACGTGGTCTATCGGGCCTTAGTTATGAACTACGCCTTCGTTCGGTCGGTCTGTACTCCTTAGAATACCGACGAATTCGCGGTGATCTGATCCTCACTTACCTGATACTAAGAGAAGAGGACCATCCATGTAAGTCGCTGTTAACATTATCTGCCGACAAACGATGCCGAGGCCATGCACTAAAACTTGTGACTCAATATTCCCGTTTAGATTGTAGAAAGTTTTTTTACTCTCTTAGTGTCTGTCCGCACTGGAACGCACTGCCATCGCATGTGGTGAACGCACCAAACATCGAGACATTCGAAAGACTATTGGACTTGCACTTACATGATACACATTATATATCGGTATGACAAACTGCAGTGTCTAACTTACTGATATTTTTGTGTCACACCTGAAACTTTTGTTTTCTTCCATTTGCCATCCTGTGGGTCTTGTAAAGTTATTGCTTTTTATCCCACGATACACTATTGAACTATTGAAGGGCTTTTTATTAACTCCTTGATGTGAAAACACCTTTGTTTTCAAACGAGCACCGCATCAGCCTCAGTGTTTTCGCTGGTCTCCATCGGTAAACCGCGACGTACGTTGCATCGCTTCATCCCCTCTAGCTAACGACGTAAATCAGCGGGGTTGCTTTTACAGCTGCTACATAGGGGATGTATCGTGAAAGGAGAAGCTTCTCTCTGCATTCGATCGTCTTCTGGAATCGCAATTGTGAGAGGGTTGATGTGTTCTACGAGCTGGGCAATTTGGTTGCAGACGTTTCATTGCCAACCTAGGTAGCATACTCAGTGCAGCTATTGGGGTCGGATTCACAGAGCCTCGTAAGCCACTGCCAGATCCAAGTGAATATTGATCGATCAATATGCTGTAGGGTCAAGATGGGTTCCCCACATGAACTGATTCTCGCTGATGTTTTTATAGGTGTGCTGGAACAAGGCAAGTTAAAGCCAACAATTCCAGGCCTCTGTCTAAATTGCCGGTATGTGGACGACATCATTGTTTTGCCCCAAGCTTCCCGAAACATCGACGAGCTAACAAACACTTCAATCAAGGCCACCCAGCAATAAAGTTTACCTATGAAGTCACTTTCATTTCTTATAAGTCGCTATGAAATGACCTGATGAAGGTGCGCTGCAGCGCCTCCTGAATGGGAAATACACGTGGAATGGACAGTACACAAATTTCTACAGCTTTATGCCACTCCGGTTTAAACGGAATTTGATACCTACCTTGATGAACCGGACTGAAAGAATCTACTCAGAAGACAATTTTATTAAGGAATTGAAGTGCGTTCGCTTGGTCCTGATGGAGAATAGCTACTCGGAGAGCTTCATTAAAGCCAGCACTGCACGGAAGAAGAAACAGCCCATAGTGCTAACAGCAGAACGTAAGCCATTCTTTCTACGACTGCCATGCATGGGTGAACTTACGATAAAAGTTCTACTTCGTCGTCTTTCGCATGCACCAAGATCAACCTACTCAGCAGAAAGAGCGTAAATCCAGTTCACTAGCACTCTGATGGTGGTAACAATCACAAAGGACAAGAAGCTCGTCCGCGCCAACTCAGTATGGATTTATTCACTTTCCTGCCCCGGTAGAGCAGAGTCCGTCGGTCCTACGTGGATGCGTCTGACCGAAAGAGTGAAGGAAGACAGCGCGGCCTGATTTTGAACTACAAGCAGAAAAACATCCAACTCCTCAATAGCCGTGCATCTCACCGACACAGCACGCCAGCAACTCCGCTAATTCTTTCAGAATGTAACTGGCGAATTACGTGCGTAAACGAATACTTGAAGCTGCTAAAGTAATTACGATTCGACTGTTTGGACCAGAGCTGTGTGTTCTGACGGAGCTAACTATAGGGTCGGGATTATCTTTGTCCAAACGGCTGATGAACTCTGAATCGTGACACCATAAGCTGTGGATTGTCGCAACCTAATGGATGGCCCCTGTCAACATCTACAGTCAAGAGTTAACGCGTTCCAGGAATAACGACTAATAACGTCTGTATACCTATTTTGACTTAGAGATTTATTTGTTTCGATGCAACCCGAAAAATGAAAAACGAGTGAAGCCAAATGGTCTAATGCGTTTGACACACTGACCATAATTGCTGAGTCCGAATGAACGAACAAGGAAATTGTTGCGTTATTTATCCTACGGCAAATGAGTACTGTGCGATGTAGTACCAAATGGAAAGATAACATTGGAACGTTATTTCGTACCTCAGGGAAATGATCTTATACTTCGCCAACAGATGGCCAATATGGATGGGGTACCGCCAATCAAGGTAGTTCGCATCGTCACAACTATGTGGGGGCTGTATGGAGCATTCAAGCAGGCGACAACAGTGCCCCACATCCCACAGTGGAAAGATCGCAATATTTGGGATATGTCGTACGTAAAAAGACCAACAATTTCATACTTGCTCTCAAAGTTCCATATTCGGACTGATCTGTCCGTCGCACACGTTGCGATTAACGGCTTCCTTATACATGTATCCAGTCCCAGAATTTGGCCATGATGAAACGCCTGAGCGATCGGTTCGAATGCCAGAACTTCATCCCGAAGTTGCGCACCCTTCAGTTTTGTCGAAATCATGGCCTTTGGCACGAGTTCTGAGGGTTTCAGGCCCAGCTCCATGGCGCCCAAGTTAAAGTAGTATATCTGGTGCGCATCCGTGCTGGCCACCATCAGTTCTTCGGATGGACTCACAACCAAGTGGGTTATTTTTTGATTGCTTAACTGGTCCGCGTCTGAACTGCTTGCCGGATCTAAGGGTATGTGAATGGTATGAACCATTCGATAAGACTCCTTGAGCTGAGTCCCACTCGAGTGGACCAATCCAGGGAGATTCGCATTCGGTTGAACGCCAGCCTCCACACGCTCAAACCAATAAACAAGTCCGGGGGAGCACGCCACTGCCAATCCTTTGCTGGTGGAAACAACAGCCGTGATACTTTGTTGATCTTGTTGACTTGAAAAATCTGTATCTTTGCTGGAAGTAGAGAAAATGCCATTGCACAAAGTTAGATGAAAGTTTGTTCACAAACAGTTAAGCAAGAATTATGTTAAAACAACGACATACAAAAGCCTAGTGTGACTATCGTCATCATTAGAACGTTCTGGTAACTAAACCGATGACCACTCAGTTCAGTCAAGTCAAATTAAAAGTGAACTTAATACATATATGAAAGGTGAATATTTCTCATATAGATCGCAGCAGTGAGTGATACCAACAGTCAAAATAGCCACTCTTGGTATTTTGGTAGACTGCTGACTCCTACAGAGCCCCTTTGTTGAATAAATTATTACTAGTGGCCATATACGCTACAAATTTTAGACCACAACATTCTAGAATCGGAGCAGTATTGGTTCTAAGTTCCTCGTAAACAATCATGTCAGTTCTAAGAGAAGTCTTTGAAGTTCCGATAACGCTCAACCCATCGCCAGCTTCCTGCTTGGTCTTATGCTTCGACCAGCGACAACCCTAACAGATTGTACTCCGGTTTTACTTAGGATCACAAAGGTTTACCTAAAAGGAAAACACCGTCCCAAATGAGACCGCGTTCAATAAAATTGCACAACCTACTGAGCATCAAACGAACTTTTGGTGTAAGTCGCTTTGTAACGAACGTGAAACATTTACACTATCAGTATTTTGCGACATTTGGTCTTGTTGTTCTTTGTATCTTCCGATCGTCTATTTGTTTTACTGCTCGTACACCCCGTTCAGTTTCGATTCCTTTGTAAGTCCTGCGCCATCTTGCTTCGTGCTTTTGTTAACCTGCTCCCCGTTCCTTGTAGTTTTTAACAACATACACGCGTCCGTAGCCATAAGGATCAGAGACCTGTCTAATAATCCGAGGGCGCAGGTTCGAACCTGCGTAGGGGACGGGGTGACCCTTGCAGTACTCTTAGCCCACGTGCGAATGGTGGGGGTTGCGCCGTAGCGAAGCGTTGGTACTGCGTACCGGCGTGCTGCTTCTCAATACACCTTCGGTCAGTCAACTTCCGCACTTCCGAATAAATGGAATCCATAGGTTTTCTTACTGGTCATCTTTGTAACCAGTTTCTGCGTTCCACGTTATGTCTTCAGGCAGTAAGATGGCGTATGTGTCTATGGCTGTTACCTAGTTGCAACTGTCGATCGATACCACTCGGAGGTAACTTTAGAGCAGGTCTTTCGACAAGTTACATCCGGGGATGCTGGCATTAACTTCACAGTGCGGTTCGCAATGGTGGCCGCTTATACGACGCAGTGTTTCAATCTGTCAGTCTGCATGCCTGCTTGAAGACCCTTTTGATATAATGAACCATAAAGTAATTCTTCCTTCAGTATTTGGTAGTATTGATTTTTACAGCTTTTGTATTAGTGAACCGTCCATTCATCTTATAAACGTTATTTTGAATCACTTACTTCCCGCGGTTAATCCTAATATTACTAATGGTAATATATATTCCCGAGTAATCTTCACTACCCTCACCTGTCTGCTGTTTCTCCTTGTATCTCTTGCACAACACACATTACGCCTGGTTACTAAAAGCACATCTGGCGCGCCATCGAACAATTTTAACGCTTTAGCACTTTCTGCCGATATGCCTCCAAAATTTAACACAATCCTGTCTGCATACGCTCATTCGATCAGGCGCGGCGAGGTCTTTACAAGGATGTAGATATGACAAATATAGGCCTCGCGGGATATCATTTCCCATCTATTCTCAAAATTTTCTTTTTCTTTTCTGAAATGCACGGCCACAAATGCACTGGAGTTGAGTCCTACACCACAAATACTGGTTGTTTCTGGAAGTCCAGCTTAAGAGATCTTTAACAACTCCAATACTGCTCTTATTTGCAGTGGTATCAGGCAGCAACATGCGAATTGACTTCATCTACCTCGGCAGACACTGTCCGTCTAGTGGCGTCTACTTACACAGCGGTCCACCAGTGTCGCAGGGCGCTCTACTTCTACCAGCGTGCGATCGATAGCTCGCGTGTCTTTACCTACCTGGCGTCGCCGATTTGTGGCTTGGATGTGTAGGTGCAGCAGTGAGGCACGGATCTGGCTCCCAGAACAAGAACTAACTGAGACAGTGTTCTGAAAACTGACTGTCCCTCACACTAAGCTGTGAGCGCCGTCTGGACAAGGATGTGTCAATAAACGTGCAGCAACCATCGCGGTTTAACAGCAAGCACCTGAACCGGTCAGCTTTGCTCGCGTTCTGAAGAGTATCAGAAGCAACTAGCCCTCCTTTAGCGATTTATCCTACGTGGTAAGCTACAGTATTCATTCTGGTGTCCTCATACCCAACCAATTCATAACACGTTACCCTCACCAATAACCTGTGCACGCATTGCAAATAGCAGCCAAGCTAATAAAGATGAAAGAAAAAAGTGGGAAGCAGCAGCCTAACATGCTGGTAATGGTTCTAATACCCTACATTATATCATCGAAGGCATTATGCTATTAGGGGAAGAAAGTATTTCATTAAAAGCACACGTGACGAATTTAGCACAAAATGCGGTAAAATTTTGTCATTCTATGAGCTGATCAAAGGTTTAGAAAAGGTGAACTTGGGTAGGCGAGGTACGGCCGTTTCCTTCTTATCTCGTATCACCTCTGATACCCAGGATCGTGTGCGTAAACCGAGAAACGTTGTTACCCCATCAACTTAGTATCGAAAAAGTTTAAACTGCCTTCCTCACAGCCAGCAACATGGATCAACTTAACTACAATTATTTGAAACTTTGAAAAATTAGGCATGAAGTCACGTTCAATGTTTCTAAAATTTTACATGAAACAACTTCTACGAGGTTTCAGAAATCCAAACAGCTAATTACTGTAAACACAGAATACAAAAACATTTTGGCAAGGTAAGACCAAACACCGCTAGAAAATAGTATTGCCTTTAAGGAAAGGACTCCAGATATGTGGAACACCAACCCATTAAGCCGTTGAATTGACAGCGAAATATACCTCCAAAGAACACCACTAGCATCCTCTAAAACTCCCGGCGCATTAAAACTCGCATGCCTGCAGATACTCATCATCATCTTCTGCTTCTTCTTCTTCTTCTCTTCTTCATCATCATCATGATTACCATCATCATCAGCAGTAGCATCATCATCCTCCCCATCATCATCACCGACTGCGGATGGCGCTCGCCGGAAGGATTTTCTCATTCGGTTTTACAGGCCAGTTTGCATGCATCATTACTTTGTGCAGAGCAGATTTTTAGTGTTTTTGATCGTCAAATTCAGTGTCTTGCGATTCTAATTGTTTTTATTATCTATTAGTGTCGTGTCTTAATTTTTACTGTGGCTTTTTTACCTTGCACTTATCGTTCATTTTATCACCCTTGCCATCAAATCTGCTAAGCTATGCGTAAAGGCGAAGCAGACTCCCTGTGGCAGTGGTTGCAAAATAGTTGGGTCTAGAGTCAGTGCTGTTACATGCCTTGTGCGTCGTGTGCATTTCCACACTTCGTGTGTTGGTTTATCTTTAGATCATTTTAAAATACTTAGGAAATTCAGCATGACATTGTTTAAACATTGTGCAAGAAATGCAAAGCCACTGTGCTGTCACGAACAGCGGAGAAGCCGCACGATCTGGCAAGACGGGCGAAACGTTCCATAGGGAGGATTTGAAAAGGCTAACGTAAGCGGTAAAGGTTCGTCAAATACTGGAGTGAGGCATGAAAAGGTTTCTTGCTAAAAACCAACTGGAGGATCTCAGCATTGCTTACCCGGTGTTCCCACCATATGTGAGCAGGTCTCCCCAGAGAGCGGTGGTCAGACACGACCAAACGTTTCACGTTTTCACTGCGAACTTGCCATATCCCTGGTCCACGCAGCAACACCGGTTTCATCGCAGCGTTGTAAATCCTACCTTTCACTGTCATGCTGATATCCCGCCATCTTCACAGATAGTGGAGTCTCTGGAAAGCCACACAGGTCTTGCTGATAAGCAAAGCAGTGATATGACCACCGGAGGTGACACAGCTGTCATCGCAAGCGAACTGACCCAACACCTCCAGTGGTTGTTCGCTGAACTGCTCTTCAAAATATTCTGCTCAACGGGCTAGTCAATGCGATTGAGGATGGATCAACTGGCCATCTTTCTCAGCTATTGTTTTACTAACTGATGGCATTATCGGAGCCGAGTTCCGAATGAGCTGGGACAGAGTTTAGCTGTTTCCAATGACACTGACACTCTCCATCTCACGGACTTTGCGACCGAGCAAGTTTCCCAGTCGCTTCGAAAACTCCTTGTCAGACGTCGTTTCAGAGCGTTAAGGACACGCTGAAACTCAGTACCCATTGGCACCAGTTTCTGTGCTTCAATCAAAGTAATCGTTGCGTCGGATACGCATTCACAGTTAGGACGTCCCAATTTGGGTGTACAGCAGACGTCAAAAGCTATGTCAATCAGTGTTCGCCTCATCAACCTCATTCGTCACAGACAATTGGTAGGCCGGTTAGTCATGATATTGTTGAGCTGTAGACTTCGAGTACAAGTTACGAGCGTGAGGCGTGTAAGTCACGAGCATCTTTGACACGGGAAACCTGAGAGCCAGACATACGCACACTAAGGCATGGTCGGAATCCAGGCACATGCTCCGAATTGACCGACTGTCCTAGATTGATGTGCGCCATCTATAACTGATGGCAATATGGTCGGTCAATTTGGGTCCAGGTCATCGTGGAATTCGATGAGTTTCAGGTGACGCGAAGTGAACGCTTGTGCTGAGAATCAGGGATGTTAGTATAAAGATTGTAGTGGGTGCAACATTGCAGGAATCGATGTCCATTATCTGCTTGGCGTACATCTACCGCAAAGCGACCTGTTAAGTGTTGTTCAGGGCTTGAAACACGAATCATTTGGACACTTAAGTCACCAGAAGCAACCAAGATGTCCGTATTTTTCGCGGTACGGAGAAAAGATGAAATATACTGATAGAAATTGCCTTTGATAACCGAACTGTAGTCAGTATGATATTATATTTAACACGATATGGCACTCAACATTATACTACTTGCCTTTTGAACGTGCTTGTGGTCGGTAATTTTTATATCTCATTTTTTGTATTGAGGCACATAAGCTGTGTTTCTCACACTCAGCTAACGTGTATTGATGATGAGTCAGTAGAAGGATAAACACGGATGAAAGGGCACCTTGCATTTAGCATATTTGCTGAGGGCTATAGCGTCACCATAAATGCCTTGAGTCATTGACTCAATATTCGCAGAGGTCCAAAGTATGCAGTCATTGTCAGTAGATTCAGAACCAGGAAGGCGAAGACTCTTTACAACGCTGTCATCCTGCATGCGTATTTAGGAGACACAGCACACATCAATAACAAAAGTGAAGAGTGAACTTTAGTGCTGCTTATTCGCTGGTCTGACTCAGACTACGGGTGCTAAAAGAACCAATGTGAAATGAAATTTTAGGTTTGATGGAGAGCTATGTGTACCGATGACAGCAGCTGCGAGCGCAGTGGTACTCTTGTTCAATAGACGAGGAAGAAAAGAGTTGAGACGATTGGAAAACAAGCGATGGGCGAAAGCAAAGCATTGAACACCGGCCTGTACTCTCCCATCGTCAGAGAAAATGCGTGGAGCTCGCGCTCTACGCCAACCGAGTTGTGAACTTACAACCCGTGAACGTGTTGTCGCTAATGCCTAGGTTTTAAGGGAAGAGGGCAATCGAGCACCGAGGAGGATTGTCAGACTGAGTTGGTCTGACCCACTACCACTGACCTGTTTAGCGTGAGTGGCTCTGAAGGCGTTTGAAAGTGCTACCCAAAGTAGCTCGATCGGTAACGAAGGTATGCAGAAAATCGCACCGCGTTGAGGTCCAGTATCGTCACGATGGCTATAAAACTGGCGGCTTTCCCGTATTTTTCTCGAAACATAAGTTAAAAGCTGCTTTAAATCAAATTAGTGTGTATCAGACTGGATAGCATGGACCTGCTCCACTGTTTTCTACATCTGAGGTCACTACCAAGAAAGTTCAGATCAGTGGCTACTCGTGTTTCCGGTGCGACAGACTATCAAACGATCGAGGCGGCGTGCTATTATTATTTGGTCCTCCCTGTACGGGAGACTGGCACACACCTATCGCAGCGAAGATGGCCTATGTGCACAGCTATGGTGCGCGATCCGCCTGAGACAGGGTGAACTCTTTGTGGATGCAGCTTATCGCAGTCCGCGAAGTCGATGCCTGGATTGGTTGCCGCATGTCAGAAACTACATGAGTTGGCCCCGCTTCCTTATACTGAGTGAATTTAACTTCACTCGAACACTGTGGACTGAGACCTAACGTCTCTCTGGGCACTGTGAAATCGAGGCGCAGTTTGCGGAGATGGTATTTGAAACTGGAGCAGTACCACAAGTCTGCCAACCGACGCGCGTTACACTGCACTCCGCCCCGTCGTGATGGGACTCACTAATAACTATTTGAGAGCAACGTGTACGGGAAATACTGGTCCTGGAACCTCCGGCAGCTAGTGACCACTCGATGGTGT